GGTCCCTTTCCCTAATCAGTAAATTAGGGTCTTAATTACCCCGAGAAACTTTCAACCAACCTTATCAGTACTGCTAAATTCTCCATCCTGCAGAATATATTAATGAAAGTTATAAATATGTTTGATATATCATAGTTGGCTTCCATCACCAGAATGATTTCTAATAAAAGACAAATGTGAACCCTTAAGGATTTAATAGTACTCGTGAAAAGGGACCAATAGTGGTTAGAGAATTTCATTTATATTTCAATATTTAAAAAAAAAAAAGTGCGCAGAAAGAAAGGTAGAATTCCTTTGAATAAATCAATAGAAGCTTGACATTTTTATTAATCAAATTTGAGGAAGCATTTAAAAATAGGTTATAATGACGAAAAAGTCTATTTAACTTTCATTGGGAACTATGTGTACGTGCATTAGAATAAAATCTCTAAAAACTTCAAATAATCCTCTCAAAACTCTCTGAAAAATCCTCCTTAAACGCATCCTACCCATACTCGAATCCCACAATATCTTTCTCACCAGTTTGGATTCCGCTCAAGACATTCCACTGTTCAACAAGGCCTTCGTGTTGTTGACCATATATCCTCTGCTCTTGAAAACAAGCAATATTGCACTGGTGCCTTTCTGGACGTAGTACAAGCTTTCAATGGCTTGCTTTTCAAACTCAAAACCCACCTATCCCAATTCTTGTACCTAGTTCTCAAATCCTGTCTCTCCAATCGTTCCTTTCAAGTCCGCGGCGACACTGAATTCTTCAATCGTTATCTATTTGAAGCTGGTGTTCCACGAGGCAGTGTCTTGCGCCCAGTTCTCTACATCCTCTTCACCGCTGACATCCCAACCAATCCCGATACCCTTCTAGCAACATTCGCTGACGATACCGCCATCCTGTCATCCCACCTAGACTCTGAGACAGCATCTCTAAACCTACAAAGACACATCTCCCTAATAGAACAGTGATGCAAATATTGGCGCATCCGAATTAACGAATCCAAATTCAAGCATGTCACCTTTACCCTCTAACGCAAGTCCTGTCCACCTATCCTTTTCAACTCTGTACCTCTTCCCATTTCAGACACAGTTCGGTTTCTTGGATTCCTTTCAGACAAAACACTAACATGGAACCCCCATACTAGACTTAAAAGACAAGAACTCAACCGACGGTTTGACCATTTATATAGACTACTTAACAGATACTCTAATCTCTCCATAGAACCTATGGTCTTGAACTATGGGGAACACCTAAACTTTCGAACATCAGACGCATCCAATCCTTCCAATCTAAAGTCCTTCGTTCAATAGTCAATGCTCCTTATTATGTTACAAACAAAACTTTATCAAATTTTTATCAGAACCTAATTCGTCATTCTAATCCCTTAGCACAATCTTTATTCAGTTTTAGACATCCCTACGATCCTCTTCGAAGTTTGAAATAGCAGTGACCTCGAGATCTTTTGTAAACACCTCATTGGAGTCTTGGCAATTGGCAGCTTCTCTGCTTAATCCATGGGCTTATATAGCTTCATTGCTCTCTCTCAGATTCCACTAGATATCTATACAAGTGACGCGGCTGAGAGAGAGGCGCTGGGATCTCTCAGAGTCTTGCCTAATCCTCTACTCGTGAGGGAAAGGGAGAAAACTTGGAGGAAAACTATAGCTCTCTCGGCTGACTGTAAATATTGTAAATAAGTATGAATGTGTATTTATATTTTTATTTAATGTTGTCTCATGTTTTATTGCTTCTGTTTTACTAAGTTTTCTTTTCTTTTGTTATAATTTTTCTTCTTTTTTTTTGTATATATGTTGCGATTGAGTCTCTTACATCTTTAATACTAATCCCCTTAATTGAGGCAAAACGTATTTTCGCTCAATAATTAAATATTTAAAAAAATATTCAAATAAATAAATTGATTTTGTTTGTAACCTATGTTTCATCAATTGTTTATTTAAGAAAAACAGAAACAGCATACGTTCAAAATGAAGCATTACTGAATGAGTCATAAAACATGAACTTACTTTTTAGATATTTGATGCTACCACTGTTGAAACTGACACCTCCTCAAGTCAACTGTAAAATGTTGAAACTTTTCAAGGGTTGAAGATATTCCGTACAATTAGTACCGAATCCAGACTTGATTATTTTTTAAGTGGAAACTTCTTTAGGCTTGTTTTGTACTTCTTTGAGGGTACTGAATTAGACTGATCCGTAAGATTTTAATGCTCGGTTAAAGTCGAATACAGACGACTAATTGGAATACTTTTACGTATGGTTTAAAATATCGCAGAAACTAAAAAACGGGCCTGCATATTGTAAATTGTTCAGCATTTCATCCTCTCTGTAATAAGCTATAATTCAAAATTGTATCTTAACGCGATCTTAGGGGCATTTTTAGATTGGCTTTTCTTTTATGTCTATGTTTTATGGAATAGAACTTTGTTCCAACACTGTCATCACCACCTATGCCGAAGACACGTGTATCCTATCAGTTAATAACGATCCATCTATTGCATCCCGAACTCTTATATCACACATCACAAGTCTTGCAAAATGGTGTCAAAACTGGAGGATTAAAATAAATTCCAATAAATCCCATCAAATTACCTTCACTCTTCGTCGTAAACTGATGACTTCCTGTCCTATAGTATCCTTCAACAATAGCCCTGTCTTATTCCTGTCTAAAAAATCCGATACCTAGGACTCCACCTGGACAAACAACTCACTTGGAACCCCCATACGAGACTGAAACGACAAGAAACCGCCCGACGTTTTCGACTACTGCTGCACTTACTAGACAAGCGCTCTAAGCTTTCAATTAATTACGAACGACTCATATGTGACAATGATATGACAATGGAATTAAAATGGAAATAAAAGAAATTAATTCTTAAAACTAAGCTATTTACAAAAATATTTACAGGTAAAATAAAACATTTCTCGATGTGCATAAATAAATAAAACTAAAAGTCTCAAATAAAAATAATTGAAAAAAAAAAAATGTTTCTTAGATACGAACTCGATATCACTCGAAGGAAGGTGTGTTGGTACCAGGCCTTGACCGTGAATCTATCTTGATAAGGTAAGACCCACAAAGGGAATTATCGGCCAGCTGAGCTGTTTCTACCGAACGTATATCAATTAAATAGTCAACATAATTTTAATAAATGTCTCTCACCTCAATATTTTAATTACGGAATTGAGCTTTGGGGCACCACGAAACCATGAATTCATCTCGTATCCACTCCTTACATTCCAAAATCCTTCGTAAAATCCTCAAAACTCCTTACTTTGTCACAAATAAAATCATCCATAAAGACCTTAATGTTCCACATGTTTCCGATTTGGCCCAATCCAGATACCTGTCCTTCCAAAACAAACTGCAGAACCATCCGAACCCTCTCGTTTCAAACCTTACTTCCTCCTCGATCCCTGATAACCCTCCGAAGCGACTGAAAAAAAGATTGGCTCGGGACATTCTAATATAGAACTTTAATTTGATTTCTACTAATGGGTAGTTTCTCTTCATGTTGTACATGTCATGTTACCAATGTCACATTTACTTGTTGTATTTCTCATGTAATACAGTTGTAAATTTCATTAAAAGAAAAAAAAAAAGAACTTTGTTATTAACTTCAAAAAATTCTTATTAAACGAAATCAAATTAATTAACCTAACTACGTTAGGTACTTACAATTATATATACTTATAATTATAGGTACTTATAATTAACCCCTAGATACACCTAGAATACATGGATTACTAAAGTTATTTAAAAGTGGCGCTTCACTTAGTCTTATCATCAGTAATATCAATGGTGAAACTGGAAAATTTGGCTAAATATTTCAATTCCACAATCAACCTAAAATCAGATTGTAACAATGATGTAAAAAATTCAATGGAGATAAAGCAAATGCTTGAAAGAATAAATAAAATAGACCATAGGTAAATATTTTTTGGTTTGTTTTGATGTAGCCAATTTATTTAGCAATATCAATAGGAAATATATAATAAAAATAATTGAAAAATACGGGGATACAAAAGAACTGTATACCCACGGGTACTATGGAAGATATGGATTAAAATATCAAAAGTGCGGCAATAACAGCAACAATAATGCTTTTAGAGGTTAATTTCTTATATTTTTAAATAAAAAAGAGAATATATTATGATTGCTTAAGTATTTAGCCTAAATCACTCAGATAAACAAATATGGACCAATACAAAAAAAAAAATCCATCTAGGGTGCTTCAGACCGAAAGTACCTTCCATATAGATCCTTCAGGGCTTACGAGAAATCGTTGAAACTTTTCTTTGAGTACGCAGTTAAAAAAGGAACAGCTCGACCTTATGTGCAGTTTATAACGACGACGGCTGTTAAAACCCTATGTAATTTACGATTGTATAAGTTAACTATTTTCATTTTTTTGTTTAATAATATTATAATTCACGATATTATATTACGAGATTTTTTAACTTAACTTGGTTTTTCATTTGGTAAAACAAATATTTTAAAAATTATCACTCGTCAAACTAAATTCACTATCCGAATCAGGATTCGTTTTCATTTGGAGGCTTAATATTGGCCATCATATGATTGTAATCATAATCATCATAGATAGGACAGGTCGAATTACCTTGTTCAAACAAACTTTAATCCATAATAAATAAATCCCTTAGTAAATATCCAACCAGGCAGCACTTGAATAAATATAAAACACAAGTTGTATGAAATGAATTTTATAATTTTTCCATGCAGTAAGGCTCCTGTTCTCCAAACAAAAAAAAATTCCAATAATCAGTTTCCAATGTTCATGTAAGTTGTTGTGATGTAAGTGATAAAATAATTTATCACACTGTAACATTTTTTTTTTTTTTTTTTGTCTTGTCCGTTGGTAACTTTAGTGAATTACCAAACATTACTTATTCATTTTAGCCAAGATAGTGAGATATTGATATTTGAATATATATATAAAAAATATAATGAATAAAACAAGTCAATTTTCAATTTACAAGAATAATCTCTTTCCTCAGACCTAAGCCCAGACTTAATGGTAACCGTCCTGAGGGACTGGGTCGGAAGAGAAGAGCCCCAGAGGATCAAGAGGTTGAAACAAGAAGCCGCAGCCAAATTGCCAGAGGAAAACCTCATCAAACTATCGTAAGTTCCTTCACTATTGTAAAAGCTGAAAATATATTTGCATGAAAACGTTTTTTTCATTTGGTTAGACTTAAAACTTTTAATATGAAAATTAATTTTGAACAATAATCTGTGAACAGGAACTAAAACCGTTTCACCGATTCTTTTCAGCTATTGGTTACAAATTCTATAAAACTATTTTTTATAACTATTCCTTTATTTTATATATCGACTGTTAACTTCACGGATGTAACAGAAAATTTCTTAGTTTGAAATGTAAAAAATATTTAAGATTTGGCCACATCCCGTAATTCCTTGTGTTTCACTTCTCTTTGGTTCAATATTTTTTGTGTTTATTTTATTTAGGGTTTATTTGTGTATATTAATATTTTTAACTTCTTAACATTGTAGAAAATCTAAAAAGTTCTTCTTTGAAGGTTATCCAAACAAGCTCTTCCATCTTATGTAAATTTTTTTCTCCTCATTAAAGCTTCGTAGGTGTATCCCTAGTATAAAAACTTTCAATAAAAATATTGAACGTTAATTATATTGTACACCACTTATATAACTCATTTTTATACATATCAACATTCAATAATATATCTATTAAATTACTTGAATATAATATAAATGGATATCACAATTATAATTTTATTCGGCATTCGTTGTTATATAATTTTCAAAAGTTAATAAAATTAAGAAATAAACAATTTTAGAAAATTGGGCATGTCCTGAGCTTAACTTTTTTATAACGATTGAACTTTTCAATATGTAAGTTAAATTCATTATCAGCAAGTGTCTTCCTCAATTCTTTAAATCAAATTTACATTTGACTGTTTTATTATTATTTTCCGTAATATGGAAAGCTTATAATCATTTACTATGTATAATTTTATTTAATTTGTCCAATATTATATGTTTTTCAGAGTTAGCTGTGTGCTGAAATTTAATAATTCGGTATTCCTTATTCTACCTTATTATAGATATATATAATTAATAAAATAAATAATTATTTATTTTTTCTATCAACTATAATGAGGTCATAAAATTGTAGTATATGAATTATACTATACAAATAATAATTATACTTGCAAAATTATGCGTTTATGGTTTTCATGTTACTTCTTTATTTCTAACCTTAAAGGAGGCCAGAGATAAGGACCGAAACTTAGGCGTTCAACAACTTGTTCTTACTATTTTTGGTTTTAATCTTGGCTATCTTCTTCCTGTAATAATTTTTAGTTACTTTAATATCATTCAGTATAAACTCAGTGCTTACAGACTACTTACAATAATTATCCTTTATAGGGTGCAATGGAGAGGAAAAGGAACGATTGACCCTGATCTCTCAGAGCATGATACTTACCTAACTATATTCCAAGAAACCATCTCAGCCAAGCTCCAAGACATGATCAACAAAAGCATTGAGGAGAAACCAGAGATTAATGCAAGAAACAAAACGATACAGGTAATCGTTTCCACCATGTTAATTTAATAGATTGTTAAATATGTACTCTTCTATCAAAATGTTTGTTTCGATTATTAATATGTAATTTATATTATATTATGTACTTTATATTATGAAAGAATATTATTACATAATATGTAAAATGTTATACATTTTTAAATATTATGTCGTACTTCAGTTTTTATTGATTATTTGGTAAATACATTTTCTTTTTTTTTAATGAATTATATTGAGTATCAGAAGGCACTGTAGCAACTGAATTCGTGGTAATTATCACACACAATTTTTTTAAATTCTTTATCAAAGTTACACTTGAACATAATATAAGCCAGGCAGTACCTATAAGATTGTTTCTTCTGCAATTTTAAAACTACTAACAAAATATTATATATCTTTGCAGGAGGTGTTCAAGGAAGCACTAGTCCATTTGGCCATGTGCCGGCAAATTCGAGATGAAGAGAGAGTGGACGATATGAAGAATATTGTACAATCGGTGAGGACCATCATGACCAACGCAACCGCCCGCCACGGTCCAGTAATACTCCTAGGCGGTCACGGATCTGGCAAGACCTCCATCCTTACAGAGATCTACTCCGAATGCGAATCTTGGTTCGGAAAGAAGGTGCTGAGAGTCCTCAGGTTCTCCGGACTGACTCCTCGCTCATCCTACAACCTTGAGTTGGTTCGGATCATCTGCGAACAGCTCTGCCTCTTGCTTCAGCCTTCCGCACATTGCATTCCAAAGGACGCCTCCTTCGATCCACTTTATGTCAACAATTGGTTTCAAACTCTGGTACGGCGTTTCGACGAGGATTCTCCGGAAGGTGCCGAAGACAAGACATTAGTCATACTCATTGACGATCTACACCGACTGAATCCCCTTGATTCTGACATTGTCGCTGCGCTATCTTGGCTTCCAATCAACTTACCAAAGAATGTTCATATTGTTGCAACAACTGTGCTTCCTCCCGAGGTTTTGAAACTGACACCAGTACAGAAAGAACGCTTCAGATCACCTGAATGTCTCATCGAGCTTCCACAAGTGCAAGGTAACAATTTTTATTTGAGAATATTATGATTTACAAATAATTAGTGCGAAAATGCAAAACAAATAAAAGAAGAAAACTATTGTTATGATGTTACTAAAATATTTTAATACATTCCTACAAATTAGAGAGGTCCTCACTGTATCTATAGTACAGTTTTTTGTTCTGATAAAATCAGATTTGCATTCAATGTTCTGCATTTATGCGATCTTAATGTTTTTCTTTTGGAATCTTACAGTAATTAATAACTAATCATTTTCCCTAAACATTTTGTATGTGTTTCAATTTTGATAAGTTGATATCATTGAAGCTATTTGATTGGTAAATTATTGTTGTTGGTAAATCATTGTTGTTTGATTAAATGATTTACAAAAAAAAAAAAAATTGTTATGAAAAAAATTAACATGAGTATTGGATTTATTCAAGAACACCAATAAAAAGCTCTTCAATAATTTTCATTACATTAATCTCGGGCAGCGTGTCTCAAAAAAGTAGTAAATGATTGGTTTACTACCTTGCGTTCTTGGTAGATGATGGGGATAGTACTGTCTTACGCTCAACTTAACGCTCAAAAGATTCTTGATTAGAACCATGAACATCAATTCATAGACCGAGATGTCAAAGTGTAAAACTATGTTTCAAATAAATGCTCTCATTCTAAATAATAAAGTTTTCACTCTGAAGATAGCATTTTAGATATGATTCTTAAACGATCTATCAACAAAAACAATCTAGTATTCAAACCTTTATCATATTCATTGGTTTATCCCAGCTTAAATTAAACTTGTACTTATGTTTTAAAGTTTCTTAAACTGAGGCTTTTCTAGAAATATGTTGAGATGTTCTACCGGAGATATTAGAATCATCACCTAAAATTTCCCTAAACAAACGCACAAAGTTTTTTTTTTCTTTTCCAGAATAAGACGCAAACAGCCTCACAGCCACCAGAAGGGAAAATTGCCTGGTGGTGTGATGGGGTTTTAGGTTGTTTTTGTGGGGGAAAACCTTGCCATAAATATTACCGCTAATAAATCCCGCTGGACCGAAAACAAAAGCCGTTTTAGGAGAATAGACCGTTTCCTGCCCATTGACGTGAGGTTCCTGGTAAAAAAAGAAAGAATATTTCCTCCGGGACATAACACAATATGAGCAATTTTTCGGTGCGCGGGCGAGGATATGCTAGTTTATTGACTACGGTCCTAGAGCAGCGGTTCCCAAATGATAGTGGCGGGCCATCAGTAAATGAACTAAATGGGACCCACGAACATTTGTTTCAATTAAAATCATACCTGTGACACTAACTTTATTTACACCACTGTTATTAATTGTTTACCCAATTAAATTTACCAGTTCCATTACGGAAAATGATACCATTCTTTTTTAGGTACGTATGGAATCTTCCGTACACCTACTAGTCCGTGCCTCCACTGGTTGCACAACATCCCTTAATATCGCGTACGACTTAGAGTTAAATGTTTATATTAAAAGGTCAATGTATTGTAAATTAAGTACTATTTTTATTGAGATTTTACCATTATTAATTTTAAATTGTATATCGATTTTTATCAAGAGTTGATTCGTTTTTTTTTCTAGTCTAATCTAGTTTTGTTTATAGTCGATAGGCGTCTTTATAGAAAGCAAGATATATTTATAGCTGTTCTGAATAGTAGTAGAGAATTTCCTACCCCAAGTAATGTTAATATTTGTGTTTTTCGTAATATTTTGTTTCAAAATTTTATTATTTTAACGAATTTTATTAATAAAATATCATTCAAAATGAGAGTTTGGTATTATTTTATTTATTTTTGTTCAGTGAATATTAATGATGAAACTTTATTAAAATTGAAGTTAATAAAGCTCTGAATATGAACAAGAAACAAGGCACTATCAGTGTTAGGGCACGAGGGTAAGAGTGTCGGTCATCTTGATGTAATTTTCGTAAGTGCCTTTTTATATCATCTTAAACATGGCTTCAAGCTAGTTATATCACAATACAACAAGAAAAATAGAGACTTATAATAAGGAAAATCATACCTAAGACAGATAATGAATGAAATCATGACCAAAGAGTCATAAAATATGTTCAGTAAAAGCCCCTTCAAGTTAAGGGATTATGTTAATCCTCTTCTATATGCATCACGTTAATCCTTTTATATATATTAAATTAATCCTCTTATATAATGATGTTTCACGATACTTTATTAATAAAATTTGTAAAAAAAGAAAATTACATTGTGAAAACCAAATATTAAGAAAAACACTAATATTAACATTACTTGGGGTAGGAAATTCTCTAGCAGATATGAGCAAATGCTACTCTGAGTACCAAGTACCAAGTATTTTATTCAAATTTAATCGCTATTGGGAATTGGGAATCGCTACTTCAGTTTATTGTTTGACTTCAAATGATGTAGTAATTAAATTTTTTGGTACTGATTAAAAACTCAGTATTTGAGTATAATACCTTGTACTCAGTACTCAAAGTAGCATTTGCCCATCTCTGTTTTCTAGTACTAATCACAAAAATAGAGTAAGAGGCGCTGGAATCTCCTCCGGGGAGTCCTGCCTTTCCATCCACGAATGGCTCGGAGTTCTCCTGAATGGATTCTGTAAATATTGTATAAAAGTATGCTCGTGTTTTAGTTGCTATTTTGATACCTTGTAGCCAGATGGTGTGAGGGAAAGAAAATGCGCATGGCTGCTGAAAAGACGCAAGCCATCCTCTTGAAAGGCACGACTGATAGAGCACACCCCATTAGCATGGATATAGAAGGTCAAATAATACGCCCAAGTGAGGTGGTAACATATCTTGGTGTAAGGTTAGGAAAAGGCCTAAATATAACACCTCACTTGGATTATCTAGCAACTAAGGTGACCCAAGCCTTGAACGGACTCAGTCGTGTTGGGGGTGCATTCTGGAGCCTCAGATACCCCGCAACGATGACGATCTATAAAGGTGTTGTGCTGGGTATCTTGAGGTATGCATCTCTCTCCTGGTATAGGAACCTCACACAGCGACAGCGAAAAAGGTTGGCGTCGATCCAGAGGATGGCCCTGTTGCGTGTCACCAGAGCATTTAGGACAACGTCACATGAAGCAGTGCAGATCCTAGCGGGGGCGGTACCTCTCGACCTCCTCCTGCGAGAAGATGTGACCAAGCATAAATTCAAGAAAGAAGGCTTGGCTGGAGTTCCAGAAAATCTACGGATGAGGATTGTGGAAAGTCCCAACAAATGGAAGAAGATAATCCGGGAGGATACGATTGAGGAATGGAGCCGTCGGTGGGTTGCTACCCCGAAAGGGAGTACTCTCAGAAAATACTTCCCCACCGTACAGTCGCGGTTAGATGCACAATGGATCCTCCCGGACTATTTCACAGTTCCTCACGGGGCATGGGGGTTTTCGAGCTAAGCTACATGGCTTTGGCCAGGACATAGATCCCCAATGCCCCACTTGTGGAGTTCTGGAGACTGTCGAGCACGTGGTCACGGCCTGCACTGCATTTGAAGGAATAAGGGCAACGATGATGAGAACCGCAGGAATTTACGTCCTAACAGAGGATGAACTTCCTCAGTTGGTAAGTAAGGAGAACTTCCCTCGGTTCAAGAAATTCATTTATGACTGGAAGGAGGCAGTGGGTCCAGCCCACTTCAACATCGGAGCACGGAGAAGAGGACCACCACCAAGAAGACCGCTGGAAGACGGACACCCTTGATAAGACGTCACCAAAGATAATATATTTTAAACTGTTTCACTTGCAGTAGTATGCTGTTATGCAGTCATGCATAACAGCCCACTATTGCAAACGCCTGTATGGCCCATCAGGCAAGGTAGGGTGGAATGTAAATAAGTAAATAAATACATAGTTGCTATTTTGATTAGTTTAGTTCTTTTCTTTATATATATATTTACTTTTAGTATTATTATTTGTCTGTATTATTTATTGTAAATAGAGTGTGGATGTGCTCTCTGAACACAATCATAAATGTCCTTAATTGTGACAGATTGTGATAAGTACTATTCAAAATAGCAATAGATAAATCCTGTTTTCTATAAAGGCGCCTATCAACCTTAAACAAAACTTGAAGAAAAAAAAATTAACTCTTCATAAAAATCGATAACAATTTAAAATTAATAATGGTAAAAACTCAATAAAAATCGTACTTATTACACAAACAATTTATCTTAAACTTTGAACATTTAACTCCAAATCGTACGCGATATGAAGGTAGATTTTACAACAAATAGAGTGTACTAGACTACTAGTGTACAACGGACTAGTGAGTGTACGGAAGAGGTACAGGAGAATATTATCATTTTCGGCAATGGAAATGGTAAATTACATAATTGTAAATTTAATTGGGTAAACAATTATAAACAGTGTTGTATAATTACTGTATATTATTATAATAATATTATTACGAAAAACACTAATATTAACATTATTCGGGGTATGAAATTCTCTACTACTATTCAGAATAGCTATAAATATATTTTGCTTTCTATAAAGACGCCTATCGATTATAAAGAAAACTAGATTAAACTAGAAAAAAAACTAATCAACTCTTGATAAAAATCGATATACAATTTAAAATTAGTAATGGTAAAATCTCAATAAAAATAGTACTTAATTTACAATAAATTGACCTTTAAATATAAACATTTAACTCTAAATCGTAGGCGATATTAAGGTATGTTGTGCAACCAGTGGAGGCACGGACCAGTAGGTGTACGGAAGATTCCATAGGTACCTAAAAAAGAATTGTATCATTTTCCGTAATGGAAATGGTAAATTACGGAATGGTAAATTTAATTGGGTAAACAATTATAAACAGTGGTGTAAATGAAGTTAGTGTCACAGTTATGATTTTAATTGAAACAAATGTTCGTGAGTCCCGTTTAGTTCATTTACTGATGGCCCGCCACTGACAATCATTTGGGGACCGCTGCTCTAAACCGTCTTCGATAAACTTTCCTCCAGCAATCTGCTCTATAATTTGATG